AATAGTAAAGCTCTCATCCTTATTTTCAAATCTTTCCCTAGCCTCAACCCCTCCCTACCTCTGAAACCTACTTCAGTCCAATCTCTATCTGAGGTATCTGCACCCTTCAGCTGTTTTCTTTTATGAATCCCCTATTTCATTGTCCTATCATCAGCAGATGTCCCTTCAAATTCTGGAATTCTATCCCTAAATCTCTCCATCTAATTCCATCTCTCTGTCGCCCTTCAACTCATTCCTTAAAATTTTCCACTTTGACTGAGCTTAATGTCAGCTGTCATTTATGCTCCTGATATGTCTTGATGACAAATACTGCCTGATAAAGCTCCTATGAAGTGCCCTGCTCTGTTTACATTCAAGGCAGTATATAAAAGCATGGTGCTGCTGTCCTTGTCTGATACACAGTGTAGATTGTGCATTCATCAATGTTCACATGGTATTTCCAGATTTAGCGCAGTCCAGAGAGTGAGGTTTCAATTGAATGGATTTAGGGATTACAAAGAAAAAGGTCAAGAATTTGGCAATTTGCCTGATTCTTGGTCAGAAAGGTACTGAGCCGTAAAGCAGATTGTACAGGAATCACCCTGTGAGGGCACAATGCATGTACAAGAAATCTCCCTGAGACAGACAGGATCTCATATGTATGTTTGGGTTCAACACAGACCTCTCAAGGAGAAGGTGAATTGTCCTTAGGCTTAAATTTCAAAATATCACTACTTATTAAACTTTGATACAAAATTTACCTAATTATGGATTCCATAGATATACCAGTCCTTGACATTAGGTAAGGACTGATCTATCTTCTTGTTCATGCAAGTCTTCCAGTCTAGTTTATTTTGTTCTAATGTAGTCTAACTCTGTATACACTGTGCTATTTATATTCAGTGATGTGCAGCTCCATCATATCATCACAAAGTTGCTCCAAGGCCCTGAAGCTCCTATAACAACACCCGTCCCCAAGATTTTCTCCCCTGTCATAAATATTGATTGCCAGTTATATATATTCTCAAATAAGCTCTCTGGATTACTTCTTTTACTGCACACACTGTCCAGATTTTCCGTATTGAACCCACCCATTCCCAAATCCTGGTTCATCTGTTTCAATAGGTGGATCATCTGAGCAGATATAGAAACAAGAGGTAAATTTGATGATCTCACATTTTCCCTGCTGCTTCTGTTATATCAGAGATTCAATCAATCTGGCTGAACTGTTGGTCTGCAAGGGAATTATGAGGTGGTTATATATCTTCACCTACATTTGTAACTTCGGATACTGTGTTAGACCATCAAGGAAGAAATGAGGTAATCACTGCATTGTTTTTCATGTGAAGAAATCTTGCCCCAATGCAATATTTTTGTTTTCTTCAACGCTCTGTTCTAAGGTTTTGAGTGTACAACGTGTCAGTTTGGGAATGATTTGATTTGTTGCTTGGTGTGTTCTTCAGACTGTAACACATCTTCTAGCAGTGACCTCTTTGTGACAATGAGGATTGGACAGTTTTTGCTGATGTGGGATTTTGGAACATTCAGATGTATGGCACGGAAACAGACCCTTCAGTCCCACTCGTCCATGCCAACCAGATATTCCTAAATTAATCTAGTCCCATTTGCCAGCATTTGGCTCCTATCCCTCTAAACCCTTCCTAGTCATATACCCATCCAGATGCCTTTTAAATGTTGTAACTGCACCAACTTCCACCACTTCCTCTGGCAGCATGTTCCAAACACATGCCATGCTCTGTGTGAAAAGGTTGCCCCTTAGGTCCCTTTTAAATATTTCCCCCTCACCTTAAACCTATGCCCTCTAGTTCTGGACTCCCCCACCCTGGGGAAAAAACCTTGGCTATTCACCCTATCTATGCTCCACATGATTTTATAAACCTCTATAAGATCCCCCCTCATCCTCCCATATACCAGGGAAAGTAGCTCCAGACTATTCAGCCTCTCCCTATAGCTCAAACCCTCCAAACCTGGCAACATCCTTGTAAATCTTTTCTGAACCCTTTCAAGTTTCACAACATCCTTCTACAGCAGGGAGACCAGAATTGCATACAGTATTCCAATAGTGGACTCACCAATGTCCTGTACAGCTGCAAAATGACTTCCCAACTCCTATACTCAGTGCACTGACCAATAAAGACAAGCGTATCAAACGCCTTCTTCTCCGCCCTGTCTGCCTGTAACTCCACTTTGAAGGAACTATAAACCTGCACTCCAAGATCTCTTAGTTCAGCAACACTCCCTAGGACCTTATCATTAAGTGTACAAATCCTGCCCCGATTTGCCTTTCCAAAATGCAGCACCTCACATTTATCTAAATTAAACTCCATCTGCCACTCCTCGACCAATCTGATCAAAGTCCCATTATACTCTGAGGTAACCTTTTTCACTGTCCACTACACCACCAATTTTGGTGCCATCTGCAAACTTACTAACCATACCTCCTATATTCACATCCAAATCATTTTTAAAGATGACAAAAAGCAGTGGACCCAGCACCGATCCTTGCAGCACACCGCTGGCTACAGGTCTCCAGTCCAAAACCACCCTCCACCACCACCCTCTGTCTCCTACCTGTGAGTCAGTTCTGTATCCAAATAGCTAGTTCTCCTTGTGTGACATGTGATTTAACCTTGTTAACCAGTCTACAATGTGTAACCTCATCAATCACCTTATTGAAGTCCATGTAGATCATGTCCACCTCTCTGCCTTCATCAATCCTCTTCATCACTTCTTGAAAAAACTCAAACAAATTAGTGAAAAGATCCTGTTCTATCAGACTGCTTTAGATTTCATTTGGTGTTGTTGCGTGCATACATTGGTCATATGATAGGTTTGTCTCTTCTGCTCAGATAGTTTATTGTGCTTAAAGTAATTAACATGCTGTCTAGAATATTTTGCTTTGGATTCAGCATTTGCTATATAGTACTTACAGAACAGTCTTCTTGACTGCGTATCCACTAGTATTTGGACTGCTCATTCTAATTTTGAATGTTTTTTTGATTAAACAAGTTCAGTAATTGTTTTATCTAAGAGGCCAATAACAATTCTGTTGTGAATGGGCTCTTGTTGCACATTTCACAGTTCATGGTTCAGCTAGTTTGCATAGATTATTAATGTGGCAACTCATGCTTACACCTGGAAGCTGATATCTCCTGTTGAAGTATGATCTCACTAGTGTCCTATCTGATCTTTCAGTCAAATAGTGATCAAAAGCTGTTGGAATGTTGTCAAAGGTAATTTGTTTCTCATTGATCTGTTGTCTTCATAACACATGATCTGATGTTCTTCCTATGTAGTAGAGAAATATACTAACCTGCACTGCTTTTGATTTGGTGTCCAACCCTGAAGCTATTTGAAATTCTACCAAATGTCTCTAAGGATGACAGAGGCAGAACCCTCATGACATTTAAGAAGTATTTAGATATGTACTTGCGATGCCAAGGCATACAAGGCTATGGGCCAAGTGCTGGAAATGGGATTAGAACAGTTAAATAGTTGTTTTTGACTGGCTCAGATGCAATGGACCTGGAATAACTGCATAGAGGCCGGTATCGGGTTACCAAGTCACCATTTATTTACATGTGCGTGGTACATGGGCTCTAACCAACCAGCTCAAAGCCAGGCCCTACACTGAGGAGACATTCTGAATCTCCTGTTTATATCTGTCAGCCAGGGTTCCCAGATTAGCTCAAGTTAACAACACAATCAAGGATCTCAAAGTCAACAAGATCTACCTGTCCCTGGTTCCAATCGTTGCAGGTACAATTGACCTTATTCTGTGCTATAGATCTCTATGACTCTATAACTCGAGGTTTTCTATATCTGCTACATCCACCAAATGTGCCTCCTAACTTAAAATTTAGTGGTGAAAAGGTTGACATCAGTGAATTTTGTTTCATTGTTTGTTGACAGGTGCTTAAAGTTGTGAATTTTTCTTGATTGGAAGAATATCATCAGGGTTTTGTTCTCTTTGTATTGCATTCATTTATTTGTTTTGTGGTATTCTTAGTTGATTAAAGTTGTTGATTTTTTGTTGTTGCAAAATTGTTATTATAATACTAAAACTCGAAGCTGTTAAAGTTTCTGCTGCTTTTAAATGCTATGTGACATCTTCATAGAGACAAATGAAGGTATGCTTTTTCCAATTTAGCTGGAGAATTCCCAAGGTATTTTTGGGTAGAACCTTCACAAAATGGTTACATGTAATAAAGATGGCAGCAGTTACCTCCCTCAGACTGATTTTCTCCATATCTGAGGTATTCTAATGCCAAATTCAACACCTCAAAATTAGATTTGTGCTATTTCTTTATCCAATTGATTTGTATTTTAATAAATAAACTTGATAAAACTCCTTAGTTGCCAAATAAAATTTTGAATCTGTTGCTGAAACTGTCAAAGTGATAAAAACTACTTGAACAAAATCAGAGATAGTAAGAACTGCCAATGCTGGAGTCAGAGATAACAAAGTGTGGAGCTGAAGGAACACAGCAGGCCAGGCAGCATCAGAGGAGCAGGAAAGCTGATGTTTCAGGTCGGGACCCTTCTTGAAAAATCAAATTCTGAAGAAGGATCCCGACCCGAAATGTCAGCTTTCCTGCTCCTCTGATGCTGCCTGGCCTGCTGTGTTCCTCCAGCTCCACACTGAACAAAATCAGAACTTGATAGACAAACTCAGCAGAAACAAAATCAGAAATTGATGGATAAACCCGGCAAGGCCTGGCAGCATTTGTGGAGATAAACAGTTAACATTGCGGGTCCAGGACTTTTCTTCACAACTGGATCCCAGCACTGGACTCAAAATGTTAACTGTGTTTCTCTCTCCACAAATACTACCAGGCATGCTGTGTTTGTCCATCAATTTCTGTTTTTGTGTGTTTCAGATCTCCAGCGCCTCCAGTCCTTTATTTATCTTAAAGGTTTCGATAAATTCTGTTAAGGTTCTGATACTACAAATGGCAATAACAATTCATATTCTCAATCCTTTTTTTCTCCATTTTCAGTTGAGGTCTTTAAGCCTGTGCCTGAAGAAACTTCTTAACTTGACGTAACGTTGTCATCGAGCAACTGACTCACAAGTTTGTGAACTCACTGTTGGAACTGTTCACTGTGCTCCTCAACCTATTCTTTCAGGTGAAGACAAAACATTTGTGTCCTCTCCCTTAAGGGATAAAATCTGCTTTAGGTGTTCAGTAATTGGCCTCTTTTTGCAGGTACTCAGTTTAGGTTTCTCCCTCAGCCACAGTGGTCACAGTGAGAGTAAACTTTCCCTGCTTTTTTAAAGGCTTGGTTCTACTATTGCTGACAGTTAAAAACTTTGCTGAGACTTGTATTTGTAAGAGAAATTGGAAAAATTAAGTTGTTTCCCTGTTAATGATGAACCCTGATGTGAGTTGTTTTTGTCCTGATAGCAGTCAGTCAGGAAAATTGGTCATCTTGGTGGTTTAATTGGTTAGGTAAGCATTTGTGATGGTTTGTGAAATAGTGAGAATTGATTATTAGAGCACCTTTCCCAATTAAATCATAACACAGTTTACTGGTGGTTTCTCTGGAGAAGGTTTCTGTTTGGAGATTGTTCCTTCACAGTCACTATTTAGCTCTTAAGACTTTTCTTGCTGCAGCTACTCTTAAAACTGTTTCAACAATATCTTGAAAAATGATTTTCTGAATTCTTCTTCAGGCAATCTCAAATCTCTTTGTTGATCTTCATTGCTGCCTCGATTGTCTAGGCAGTGAATTCTGTTGCTGCCACTGTCTTTTCTTGTGTGGTTCGATGCTGCACTATGTGCCTGGGCTCAAGACTTGACCAGTTGAAGCGTAGCCACGGTCATGACCTGTATTCAGGCTTAGACTTCAAAGTATCACTTTTATTATAGATTAATGTTAAATATCGCTGTTAGTGGTAATCATAGGTTTACCAGCTTCTGGCTTATATTTGCATTAGGCAAGGAGTAATCTCTCTTCACTGTCTATTCGTGTCCTTTGCTCAGGCCATTTTAGTCTAGTCTAGTTTGTCCATTGTTGTCTAACTCCGCCCGCACTCTGCTATTTATGCTCAGTGATGTGCAGCTCCATAATATCATTGCAAGATTGCACCAGGTCCTAAAACCCTTACACAACAGGAACTGATAGACACCAGTCAGTGTAAAACATTCCCTTGATAAGGGACTGAGAGACCGTGATGAGCTATACACCATCTAACCCTGTGCTGTCCCTGTACTGGAAGTATTTGATACTGACAGCATAGAGAGAGCTTTACTCTGTATCTAACCTCATTCTGTACCTGTCCTGGGACAGTGTTGGGTGTGTTTTCTAGCATGAATGACCAGTCCTTTTTCAGGGATGAGTTTTTGTCTACTTGTTGCTGTATAAATTCACAAAGATCAAGAAGAGAATGAAAGAGGGAGGTGAGAGTGACGTTTGATCATAGTCCCACCCCAACTAAACATAGATTCAGCAGCTGCTGTTTACATCCTGAGTAATGCGCTGAGCTAACTGGTCAGTCAGCTCTCTAGAGAGCTACAGTGCAGCAGCTCTCCCTCAGAACACAGACTGGATTCAATATGACCTGTCATGAAGTGTGAATGAGATGCTCCCACACACATTAACTGTTAATTGTCTGACAGTCTGTGAAACATGAGCCACATTGGTATTGCACCATTTACGCTTCTGTTTATTGACAATGAGTTGTTTTGTATCTGAAGACCCAAGTCCTCAGCCACCCTGCAGCTATTGATCATATTTCAGTATGATTGCCTCCCACCATAGCCCTGTCTGGACTGAATGATGGACATGATGTTTACCATGAGGAATTTGTGACAGTGGGCTGACTGGAGGATTTCCCCAGAATCATCTGATCCAGACATTGAGGCATCTGCTTTTGCCTTCCTCTGGAATTTCACTTTATTTCCACCTCTTTTATTTCTGTCTTCACTTTATTAAATTATTTCCTTATCGGTCTTTCAAATGTGACATTAAACTAAGGCCCTTCTGCACTTTCAGATCAGTCTGTGAGATCCCAGGTGACGACTTTGAAGGAAAGATGAGGAGAATTGTTCCATGGACCAATATTTATCTTTCAGCCATCATCACAAAACCTCCATAATTATCAAGTCATTACCACATTGATATTTTTGGGATCTTGCTGTGTATAATTTGACTGCTGTTTCCTACATTTCACACATAGCTTCCTGTGTCAGTGTAAGGTGTTAGAGAAATTCAATCCTTATTTTTATTTTCTTGTTTCAAGATCCACAGAAAGCTTGCACGCAGGTGCAGCAACTAAACAGAAAAGCTAATGAATATGGGCCCTTATCTCAAAGAAGTTGAAGAGTGGGGAAGTCTTACTTCAATTGTACAAGGTTCTAATATTGTGATCAGTTTTGGTCGCCTTATTTAAAGAAAAATATCATTTCATTGGAGCGGTTCAGAGAAAGTTTACTCCAATGAGCCATGGTAAGGAGAAATTGTCTTATAAGAAAAGGTTAAACAGTTTGAAACTCTACACATTGGAGTTTAGAAGAATGAGAGGTGACCTCATTGAAATATATGGGATTCTTAAGAGGTTTGACTGACAAATGCTGAGAGGATGTTTCCCTTCGTCGAGAGTCTAGGACCAGAGGGCACTGTCTCGGAATAAAGTTGCTCCAATTTAAGATTGAGATGAGGAGGAATATTTTCTCTCAGAGGCTTGTGAGTTTTTGGAACATCTTGCCACAGAAAGCTGTGGGGGCATAGTCCTTGTGTATAGTAAGGCTGAGACAGAGAAGTCCTTGATCATTAGGGAATCAAAGATTACAAGGAATTGCAGTAAAGTAAGGAATGTTGGATCAGCCATGAATGGTGGAGCAGGATCAAGGGTCTGTTCTTATTTCTTATGGTCTTATTTGCTCTAATTGTACGCTGTCCTTGTGTCTGTAATAATTGCACTGATTTTGCACTGTCCTTGCACGTGGAATCATTGTGCTAATTTTGCAGCGCATATTGAAAGTGACCTAGGGGTTGCAGGAATTTTGCAAACTGCTGTCCCCTCAGGGAGCAATTAGACCATTTAGAGAAGCGCTTGCCTCCAAAGCTTCCAGAAGCTGATTCCGGCTCTGGCTGGGAGGCAGCTGGAAACTTGGATGCTGTGTGGAATGTTCTCCTGTTCCTGGCAGGAAGCTGTGTCTGAGGGAAACTGGGTTCAGTTCCAGAGTGAGGGCTTTCTCTGAGCCGTGCCTACAGCCAGGCTCTTCCTGTGGCTGGAAGGGAAATAACCACAGCTGAATTGAGCCACTGCAGGAATAAACACCCCCACACCCACTGCTTTCAAGACAGATTTTACTTTCCATCATTAAACGTGTTGTGGAGGTGCTGGTGTTGGACTGGGGGTGGACAAGGTCAGAAATCACACGACACCAGGTTATAGTCCAACAGGTTTATTTGAAAACACAAGCTTTCGGAGCTTCGCTCCTTCTTCAGGTGTTAGTGAGAGACATAGTATCAGACACAAAATTGATAAGTAAAAGATCAAAAGGTCACACTGCTGATGAGGATGTATTTAACAAACCTAAGATGCTGTTAAATGTTTAATCAGTTAGAAGATTTTAATTGATTAATATGTATATGTAAATCCCCGAATTCCTTTCAAGTCACTGCCCTGAGAGAGCTAAAGGTTTTATCAGTGTAAAGAAGAGGTGACATTTTAGGTCAGACAATGCATGTTAGGTGTGAGGCCTTGTTTAGAATCTGTTTGTGTTTTGGTTTAGAGTCAGACTGGTTTTATTTTTGAAGTAGGAATTGATAAAACACACATTGACTGAGTGTCTATAAATTGTGTGCTTTTTGAATGAAAATAGAATGTATCCGCAAATACAAATTCACCCCAAAGATTCACGTGTGTGTATGTGTGAGTAAGGAAGATAGAGCGAGTGAGGGAGAGTGAGTGTGTGTGTGTGTGCTTGAGAGACAGTGTGTGTCTGAGAGAGGATCTGTGTGTGTTGTGTGTGTTGTGTGTGTGTGTGAGTGTGTTTGTACGAGTGAGGTGTGTGTGAGTATGTGTGAGAGTGTATAGTGTGGTGGGATCACCTGTCGTGCGACATGAACCCAAGGTCCCAGTTGAGGCCATCCTCATGGCGACCGAACTTAGCTATCAGCTTCTGCTCGCGACTCTGCGGTCAAGAACATTTGGCCTCGGATCTTCGGGTAAACATCCTCCAAGGTGGACTTTGGGATACACAACAATGCAGAGTTGCTGAGCAGAGACTGATAAACAAGTTCAGTACTTACGAGGACGATCTCAACTGGGAGCTTCGGTTCATGTCGCACTACAGGTGACCCCACCACACAACAGACTCTCAGACACACACATATGTACATACACACTTACACAAACACACACACACATACATACATACTCACTTATACAAACACATTCCACACACACACACACACACAGTCTCTCTCTCTCCCACACACACACACACACACACACACACGTGAATCTTTGGGGTGAATTTGTATTTGTGGATACATTCTACCTTTATTCAAAAAGCACACAATTTACAGACAGTCAGTCAACGTGGCGTTTTATAATTTCCTACTTTAGAAATAAAACCAGTCTGACTCCAAACAAAAACACAAACAGATTCTAAACAAGGCCTCACACCTAACATGCATTGTCTGATTTAAAATGTCACCTCTTCTTTACATTGATAAAACCTTTAGTTCTCTCAGGACAGTGACTTGAAAGGAATTTGGGGATTTGCATGTACATATTAATCAATTAAAACCTTCTAACTGATTAAAGATTTAACAGCATCTTAGGTTTATTTAATACATCGTCATTCGTGGAGTGACCCTTAGATCCTTCACTTATAAATTCTGTGTCTGATACTACCTCTCTCATTGACACCTGAAGAAGGAGCGAGGCTCCGAAAGCTTGTGTTTTCAAAGAAACTTGTTGGACGATAACCTGGTTTTTAAATAGGACTTCCTGCTTGTGGCAGTCGGCGGTTCTGATCTTTCTTCCCAATCCCTCAGATCTCCTCAAAGACACCGAATTAACCTCCTCTGTGAGTGTAAACACAGAGCGTCCTCCTGCTCACGGTCCCGGATGGGTTGGGGGGAGATGGTGAGAAGACCCTTCACCAGCCCTGGCCAGTCCTCCCTGATAGCCCCGGCCAGTCCTCCCTGATAGCTCCGGCCTTTCCCAAACCTTCTCCTCCAGAGCAGATGGACAGGTTAACCGTGGAGGCTCGGAGCTGGGTCCTGCCAGCAACAGAGGCCCGAGAGCAGGCTCCCTGGGGCTGGTAGAGGGTAATACTGAGCATAGACAGATCCGATGGTTGAAGAGAGTTGGATAAAGGCTGGGGCCGGCAGAGCGGAGAGAGGGTGGTAGCTGTTCGGTGGGACAGCACCAGGGAAGCATAGAGAATGAGAACTGGAAACCCGGGGGTGAGCAGATTTACCAAGGGGACGGTTCCACTGGAATTTTTTGGATACTCCAATGGTCTGGCTTCAAACTGGAAATGAACAAAGAGGCAGAAAACTGCAATTTCGAGCTTCGGGGATAACTTGCTCAGAGTAGAGTGAAGTCAGCGCACCTCACGTCAGCTCTGGTATAGAGTCATCTAGACTCGAAACGTTAGTTCACTCTCTCTCCATGGATGCTGCGTGACCCGCTGTGATTTCCAATATTTTTTGTTTTCATTACAGATTCCAGCATCTGCAGTAATTTGCTCCCACTTCCAGCTATGGGTGCTCAGATATAATTGCAGTGTTCGCTAGCGCAATGTTGGAGATGGTTTTGGTCTTGGATATTTTCACGGGAGCAGTTTTCCAAATTGTGTGAAGGCTCATTTGAAGACGAAGATGAAACCACAGAAACATCGTTTGGTGCCTTCAGTAGGGAACGCAGTGAAATGGATGTTGATAATTAGGGGATTGTTCTATTCCTATTCTTCCCCACCCCTGTGACAGGGGACTCGCTGTTAGCTGCAGAGACTATCAGAGCAACCAGGGAGATGGTTTAAAATAAAAAAAGACGGGAATTCCCCGAACACGCCCATATCCCTACAAACCCTTCCTATTCATATACCCATCCAGGTGCCTTTTAAATGCTGTAATTGTACCATCCTCCACCACTTCCTCTGGCAGCTCATTCCATACACGCAACACCCTCTGTATGAAAAAGTTGCCCCTTAGGCCCCTTTTAAATCTTTACCCTCTCACCTTAAACTTGTGCCCTCTAGTTTTGGACTCACCCACCCCAGAGAAAATATATTGTCTATTTACCCTATCCATGCCCCTCATGATTTTATAAACCTCTATAAGGTCACCCCTCAGCCAACGATGCTCCAGGGAAAATAGCCCCAGCCTATTCAGCCTCTCCATATAGCTCAGACCCTCCAACTCTGGCAACATCCCTTGTAAATCTTTCCTGAACCCTTTCAAGTTTCACAGCATCCTTCCTATAGCAGGGAGACCAGAACTGAACACAGTACTCCAAAAGTGGCCTAACCAATGTCTTGTACAGCTGCAATATACCTCCCAACACCTATACTCAATGCACTGACCAATAAAGGCAAGCATATCAAATGCCTTCTTCACTGTCCTGTCTACCTGTGACTCCACTTTCAAGGAACTATGAATCTGCACTCTAAGGTCTCTTTGTTCAGCAACACTCATCAGGACCTTACCATTAAGTGTATAAGTCCTGCCTTGATTTGCCTTTCCATAATGCAGCACCTCATATTTATCTAAATTAAACTCCATCTGCCACTCTTCAGCCCATTGGCCCATCTGATCAAGGTCCTGTTGTACTCCGAGGTAACCTCCTTCGCTGTACGCTACACCTCCAATTTTGGTGTCATCTGCAAACATACTAACCATACCTCCTATGTTCACATCTAAATCATTTGTACAAATGACAAAACGCAATGGACCCAGCACCGATCCTTATGGCACACCGCTGGTCACAGGCCTCCAGTCTGAAAAGCAGCCTTCCACCACCACCCTCTATCTTCTACCTTCAAACCAGTTCTGTATCCAAATAGCTACTTCTCCCTCTATTCCGTGTGATCTAACCTTGCTAACCAGTCTACCATGAGGAACCCTGTCAAATGCCTTACGGAAGTCCATATAGATCACGTCCACCACTCTGCCCTCATCAATCCTTTTCGTTACTTGAAAAAACTCAATCAAGTTAGTGAGACACGATTTCCCACGCACAAAATCATGTTGATGATCGCTATTCAGTCCTTGCCTTTCCAGATAGATGTAAATCCTGTCCTTCAGGATTCTCCCTCCAACAAATTGTCCACCATTGATGTCAAGCTCACTAGTCTACAGTTCCCTGGTTTTTCCTTACCACCTTTCTTAAAAATAGTGGCACCATGTTAGACAGCTTCCAGTCTTTCAGCATCTTGCCTGTGGCTATCGATAATACAAATATCTCAGCAAGGGGCCAAGCAATCACTTCCCTAGCTTCCCATAGAGTTCTACAGTACACCTGATCAAGACCTGGGGATTTATCCACCTTTATGCATTTATAGATGTCCAGCACCATCTCCTCTGAAATATGGACATTTTTCAGGAGGTTGCCATTTATTTCTCCATGTTCTCTATCTTCCATATCCTTCTCCACAGTAAACACTGATGCAAACTACTTGTTTAGTATCTCCCCTATCTCTTGCAGTTCCACACATAGGTGGCCTTGCTGATCTTTAAGGGGCACTATTCTCTCCCTAGTTACCCTTTTGTCCTTAATGTATTTATAGAATCCCTTTGAATTCTCCTTAACCCTATTTGCCAGAGCTATCTCATGTCCCCTTTTTGTCCTCCTGATTTCCCGCTTAAGCATATTCCTACTGCTTTTATACTCTTCGAGGGAATCACTTGATTTCTGCTGTACCTGACATGTGCTTCCTTCTCCTTGACCAAAACCTCAATTTCTCTAGTCATCCTACACCTACCAGCCTTGCTCTCCACCCTAACAGGAACATGCTGTTTCTTGTTATCTCATTTTTGAAGGCCTCCCATTTTCCAGCAGTCCCTTTACTTGCAAACATCCGCATCCCCCCCTCCCCCACCTCAATCAACTTTTGAAAGTTCTTGCCTAATACCATCAAAATTAGCCTTCCGGTCCATTCTTTTCCATCACTATTTTAAAACTAATAGAATTATAGTCACTGTCCACAAAGTGCTCCCCTACTGGCACCTGAGTCACCTGTCCTGCTTTATTTCCCAAGAGTACGTCAAGTTTTTCACCTTCTCTAGTAGGTACATCCACATATTAAATCAGAAAGTTTTCTTGTGCACACTTTACAAATTCCTCTCCATCTGAGCCCTTACACCATGGCAGTCCTAGTCTATGTTTGGATAGTTAAAATCCCCTACTATAACCACCCTGTTATTCTTACAGATAACTGAGATCTCCTTACAAATTTGATTCTCAATTTTCCACTGATTTTTGGGGGGGTATATAGTACAATCCTAATAAGGTGATCATCCCTTTCTTATTTCTCAATTCCACCCAAATAACTTCCCTGGACATATTCACAGGAATATCCTCCCTAAATACATCCATAATGTTATCCCGAGTGAAAAACGCCACTCACCCTCCTCTTTCACTCTCCTTTCGATCCTTCCTATTGCATCTATACCCTGGAACATTAAGCTGCTAGTTCTGTCCATCCCTGAGCCACATCTCTGTAATTGCTATGATATCCCAGTCCTATGTTCCTAACCGTGCCCTGAGTTCATCTGCCTTACCCGTTAGGCCTCTTGCATTGAAATAAATGCAGTTTAATTTATCAGTCCTACCTTGTTCTCTACTTTATTCCTGCCTGCCCTGTCTATTTGACTTACTCCTTTAACCAACTGCACCAGTCTCAGACTGATCTCTTTCCTCACTATCTCCCTGGGTCCCACCTACTCCCCCCTTACTAGTTTAAATCCTCTCCAGCAGATCTAGCAAATCTCCCCACCAGTATATTAGTCTCCTTCCTATTCAGGTGCAATCAGCCCTTCTTAAATAAGTCACTTCTACCCAGAAGACATTCCAATAATCCAAAAATGTGAATCCTTCTCCCCTGCACCAGATCCTCAGCTGCGCATTCATCTGCTCTATCCTCCTATTCCTACCCTCACCAGCTCATGGCACTGGGAGTGATCCAGATATTACTACCATGGAGGACCTACATTTTAAATTCCTGCTTAACTTCCTATATTTTCTCCTCAGAATCTTGTTTTCTCTTCCTGTGTCATTTGTTCCAATGTGTACAACGATGCCCATTTTGGTCCCTCTCCCCTTTGAGAATCCTGTCTAAGATACCTTTGATCCTGGCTCCTGGGAAGCCAAATGGGACTACGCTTATTTAAGATATCTGGCCAGCATGGACAAGTTGGACTGAAGGGTCTGCTTCGGTGCTGTATATCTCTATGATTCTATGACATGGTGAATTTTACATTCAGAAAAACTTAAAATGTGTTCATGATAATTTCCTAATTGATAGAATTCTCTGTGAAGAGTTTTACTAGGACTGGATATTGAAATAGATGTGAAGACCCTGTGTGTGGGTGTGTAGGGTGGGATGAGTCTATAAAGATGCAGGGGAACCGTTTGGAAGAGAGTGGAGGAGGGTGAGAGAGAGAATATGCAATGGTACGTGAACACGATGAAACTGCTGTGATGGCCCTTGGTTGACCTTCACTGGGATCATACACATTAAGAAATGTGTCTCATGGAGAAGATGCCAGAACACAATGACTCATCTCCAAAATGTTTGGGTAGGTGCCCTAGGCACAGAATGTGCTGCACTGAATTGCATACAGCTCTAATTACCGATTACCCTTTCCATCCTCTATCTGTTTACAATCAGCTGCCTCGCTCCCCTTGGTAACTGCTCTCAATGACACTGAAGGGCACAGAGAGGCGTCCCCCAGCAACAATGTCCTGCTGGGCAAGGAATATTACTGGGGAGAAGTGGAGCTGGGAGCAGGGACTGAACCCTGCTGAGGTAAAGTTCTAAAGGATACTGTCTCTCAGATACACACTATCTCTCAGGCGCAGTACACACACTACCTCTCAGGTACACATCTCTATCACTCGGGTACAGTTATGCTGACACTAGCTAACGTCCAGGTATAGCTAAACACAAAAACGATAACTCAGGTGCAGTTAGATTGTCAGTTAGTTACAGGAATGCCACTATCATTCAGACAATTATACTTGTGCTAAGCACTCTGGTACAGTTATATCTAAGCCAAATAGCATTTGGGCACAGCAAAAACAGCAATTAATGGAAAAACTCAACAGATCTGGTAGCATCTGTGGTGAAAAAGCAGAGTTAACTGTGACACTTCATCCAAACATTAGTTATACACACATACTAATAACACAGAAACCACACGATGCCAGTTTATTGTCCAACAGGTTTATCTGAAAATACAAGCTTTCATAGCCTCACTCCTTCTTCACCTGAAGAAGGGGCTCTCTCTCTGAAAGCTTGTGTATTCAAATAAACCTGTTGGACAATAATCCGGTGTCGTATGATTTCTGACCTTGTCCACCCTAGTCCAACACCGGCCCCTCCACATCACTGATAATAACTCAAGCAATGCCTTAGACTGGCACTGACCCATTTGGCTGCAGGTATATCCCTATCACTCACATAATTTCACTCATGTTAACTATCCCTCAGTCCAAATTAAACTGGTGCTAGCTGTCACTCAGACACTAACATCAGCTGGAAATATTTCTCTTCAGTCGCTACGTTTATCTGCAACACAATCTCACATCATTCAAGCACCACTCCACTGTGGTGTTATAGAGATGTTTTCCATTTGAAACTGGGGCGGGATTTCCCGGAGTTGCAGATCGCCGCTCCCCTTCATTTCAGAAAGAAGGAAGCTGCTCATTTCTGAGAGGAGGCTTTGCTCTGGACTTCCTTAGAAATGCGGAGCCTTACTTCCATTCTGACAGCTCTTTCAGTCAGCTGCTGTCCCTGAAAGTGAAAGGTCAGGTCAGATACTGCAGCAGCTGATACGGTCCATGAGGCGAGTGTGATGTTTGGGTGCGGGCAGGGTAGAGTACCAGGTGGCAATGGGGTTAAGGTACCAGCAAGTAGGGACCAGAAGAATGTGGGGAGGAGAGGTGCAGGGTAAATATGGGGACCAGCTGGATAAGGTGCCAATTGGGGAGAGGTTAGCAAGCCAGGGTAGGATGCCAGATGAGGATGGAGTTGAGATAAGTAGGGAGCCAGCTGGGTATGATGCCAAGTTGGAAGAGGTTAGGGTGCCAAATGGCAAATTAGATGAAAGGGTGTTTAGAGTAGGCATGGGGAGATGGGAGAAATTGTCCTGTGGAGGGACTTGGGTTATGTCACCCTGGAAGTGAAGGGGTAGGTGGCAGATTGTCAGCTCAGGGCTGGTGAGAGTCTTGGATCTGGCCTGATGGTTGGGGGCATGGCTCCAGTGGTGTGGAGGTGTTTGTATTAGGTCCAGTGGGGGTGATATAATGGGTCAGAGGTAGAAGGGGGTATGAAAAAGCTAGAGCTAGAATGGGATATGAAAAAGCCTTGGTGGGTAGGATCAAGGAAAATCCCAAGGCGTTCTATACTTATGTGAGGAACAAGAGGATGGCCAGAGTGAGGGTAGGGCCAATCAGGGATAGTGGAAGGAACTTGTGTGCGGAGTCAGAGGAGGTAGGCGAGGTCCTTAATGAACACTTTGCTTCAGTATTCACCAGTGAGAAGGACCTTGACGTTTGCGAGGACAGCGTGAAACAGGCTGATATGCTCGAACAGGTTAATGTGGGGAAGGAGGATGTGCTAGAAATTTTGCAAAACATGATGATAAATAAGTCCCCTGGGCCTGATGGGATATGCTCAAGATTGCTGTAAAGCTGTAAGGGAGGGAGTCCTTGCATTTTGACCCTGAGGGAATGGCGATATATGTCCATGTCAGGATGGTGATAGACTTGGAAGGGAACGTGCAGGTGGTGGTGTTCCCATGTATCTGCTGCCCTTGTCCTTCTGGATGGTAGCATTTGTGGGTTTGGAAGGTGCTTCCCAAAGATCTTTGGTGAATTTCTGCAGTGCATTTTGTAGATAGTACACACTGCTGCAACTGAGTGTTGGGGGTGAAGAGAGTAGATGTTTGTGGATGTGGTGCCAATCAGGCAGGTTGCTTTGTCCAGGATGGCGTCAAGCTTCTTGAGTGTATTTCTTCACACTCCTGACTTGTGCCTTATAGATTGTGGAAAGGCTTTGGGGAGACTGGGGTTAAGTAATTCACTGAAGGATTCCAAGCATCTAACCTGCTCGTGGCCAATTTATTTATACAGCCAATCCACATTCTGGTGAATGGTATCCACAGGATATTGATTGTGGAGATTCAGTGACAGTAATGCCATTGAGTGTCAAGGGACAATGGTTAGATTTTCTTTCTCTCTTATCGGAGATGATTGTTGCTTGGCACTTGTCAGCCCAAACTGAACATGTCCAGGTCTTGCCACATTTGAACATGGACTACTTCAGTATCTGTGCAGTCATGAATGGTGCTGAACCTTATGCAATTATCAGTGAACATCCCCCTAATTTCCATTGATTCCAGTTTTGCTAGGGCTCCTTGATGCCACTCTTGATCAAATGCAGCCTTGATGTCAAGGGCTGTCACTTTCACCTCACCCTCTGGAATTCAGCTCTTTTGTCAATGTTTAAACTAAGGCTGTAATGATGTCAGGAGCTGAGTGGCCCTGGTGGAACCCAAATTGGGCATCACTGAGCAGGTTATTGCTGAGCAAGTGCTGCTTGATAGCACTGCTACTGATACCTTCCATCACTTTACTGATAACTGAGAGTAGACTGATGGAGCGGTAATTGGCCAGGTTGGATTTTTCCTGCTTTTTGTGTACTGGACATACCCGGGCAATATTCCATGTTGTTGGGTAGATGTTACTGTGGTAACTTTGCAGGGTCTGGTGCACAAGCCTTTAGTACTATTGCCAAAATGTTGTCAGGGCCCATAGCCTTTGCAATATCCAGTGTCGCCCATCCCTGAGTCACACTTCAAGACAACATCCTCCCTCTGACAGTGAAATGTTTGGTGCTTGAAGAGGGAAGATTTCCTGAGAGAGAGTGGAAATGATGTGAGTTGGGATAGTTGGCCAGGGTGATATGGTTATTGTTTGGTTGTGGGGGGTGTTGTTTGGGCACAAAGGTATTCTGGGGGAGGGCAGTGGGTGGAATAGCCTGTTCTTTCTTTCATCCCAATCCCACTCTTCCTGCTGTCCTTCCCCAGCTTCACAGCTTCCATTACCCACAGTCCTACTCCCCTCGACTTTGCTCCATCATTGATCAGTGCATTATCTATTGTTCAGTCTCTGGAACTTTCACCTTAAAGCTTCAGACTTTCAGTAAACCTGCCTGTACCCCTGACCAACTTTATAATTACACTCGTTGGAAGCTGGGATACAGTCACACAACAGCAGCCTGGGTCAGTTACACAAACATTATGTTTATTAAAAATAAAATGAAATTTTCTAGTGAATATTTACAAAAATAAGTCACAAGCATCTACTTCAATAAAATCATATCACTTCAATGCCTCAACACATTTTACCTCGACTCAGTCCTGTAACAACCCAACAATTCCAGCCCCTGACAGTGTCCAATACATTCAGTCTCTGGCCCCACACCCCGCCCAACACCCACACATCCCCCGGCCTCCCCACTGCCCTCAGCCTCTCTGAGCCTCCTGGGACA